AAAAAAATATATAAATTATGATTTTGTTTTTAAAAAGGTAATTGTATTAGAATTACCTTTTTATATACGTTTGGGGTTAGTCGTGGCCTAATGGATATAGAGTCGGACTTGTAATCCAAAGGTTGCGGGTTCGAGTCTCTGTACCGGCAGAGATTGTAGGTGGGGGGAGTGAATGACCAGCACTCTCTTCCACCTTCAATATCATAACTGAGGTGCCCTTGAGCAAGGCACTGAACCCCCAACTGCTCCCCGGGTGCCGCAGCAAAAATGGCTGCCCACTGCTCCGGGTGTGTGTTCACAGTGTGTGTGTGTGCTCACTACTCACTGCTGTGTGTGTGCACTTGGATGGGTTAAATGCAGAGCACAAATTCTGAGAATGGGACACCATACTTTGCTACACGTCACATAATTTTCACTTTTCAAAATGTCAGTTAATGTTTTTCCAGAGATTTAAGTTTGAACTAGATTCCTAAATCTAGGAATTCTAATCTAGGCTGCCAATCCTCTGAAAGACAGTTTGCGTCAAGAGGAGGCCAGTGCTGTGAAATCTGCCATTCCTAAAGGAAAGAAACGAAAGCAAATTGAACCGAGCCCTCCTGCAAAGAAAGAGCTACAGCTTTCCAGCTCCTCGAGCAGTAAAAAGAAATCTAAGGTGAGCTGATATTTTATTGGTTATTTGTTAAAAACAGTAAAGATTGACCGCGCCTTAACCTAGTAACCTATCTTAGCCTATTTTTAAATATATACATGTATGTGTGTGTATTTATATATACATAATACATGTGTGTGTACTGTGTATATTTGTTATGTAAACACACTTTTATTTTGGATACGATTAATTGTTTGACAGCTCTAATAAATAATTGTATACATGTATATATGTTTGTATAAACAAATATTCATAATATTGCAATTTTTTTATTTAATTATATATTTATAACAATGTTTTTAGAATTGTTTTATATACATTTTAATAAATGTATTTCTCTTTTAATTTTATAAATATTAATATATAACTAACTACTCCCTATTAATACGAAGTAGTACTAAATAGGTTACTATACAGTGTATATATAATGCTAAAATCTGAATCAAGTCCCTTGAGTAATGTTGTGCAAGTGGCTTAATGTAATTGCCCCCAAAAAAAAAAAAGCATCTCACTCAGACCAGTTATTTATTCCACTTGTGTACCTATACCATTCATTTAGTATGTGTTCTGGGTAGATAACAGTAGGCAGTAGACCGCAGGTCAGCTCACGGTAGCCCAGCCAATTAGAGAAGTCTGACTCATTTTTGTCTATTTGTGTACCTCAGCATGCATCATCTAATATGTTGACATTGTTCGGCTGAATTCCTATTTATTTTTCAGAAACAGAAGAAGCTGCTGGACTCCTTTCCTGAAGACTTGGATGTAGACAAATTCCTGTCATCCCTGCACTATGATGAGTAATAACGCTGGAGACGAGCCGTGCTGCTTGCCACCATTTCAGGGACATAACAAGCCATGTGTGCTACTGAGAGCGATAAAACAGATCTATTCAGCTGAGGACCCATTCTGAATAGCTGCTTTCCATTTTACATCCAGAATGTGAGATATTGTACATATACACCATATTAGCCCAATAATCATATTCATACATTAAAGATGTTCATATACAGGCCCAGATTAAGCACTCTTCAAAACCAACAAGAAAATAATTTTAAGACTAAACTGTAATTTGACTACGTATGTGAAAGTGTCAGTTCAGTTGCTCCATTGCAACAGCTGTTAATTAATTCATTGTCATTTTATTTCTTTAAATGGACGTTTTTCATCAACTGCACCATGTGACTACATTTCTGTGAACATTTTCAAGAGAGATGATTTCCTTTGTACAGCCTCTAGGTGGTATTCTTCCTTTACATTATGGATAGAGAAGTTGAACGTTGTCGTTTTCTGTCCTTTAGATGGTTTATTATATGATGTATTTTAATAAATCAATATTTGATTTAATATTTTTTGAATTATTTAATGTTTTCATTGATTCTGTGTTACTATGTCCAGCTATGGCATATTTATTTGGAATAGACCTGCAGCAATTGCATATGCCCAGCTTGACTAAACATCTTAGTCTCATTTTCCTTTAACAGCTATGCATTTCCTTTGATGATAAGATGAGTCTTGAGCAGCAAATCAGCATCATTAGAATGATTTCTGAAGGATCACCTGACATTGAAGAATGAAGTAATAGCTGCTGAAAATTCAGCTTTGCCACCACAGGAATAAATGACATTTTAAAATACAAAAGTTATTTTACATTGTAATATTATTTCCCAACATTACTGTTTTTACTGTATTTTTAATCAAATAAATACAAAATTGGTGAGCACAAATAAATTATATTATATACTGTTACTCAACATGTTTTGGTAAACTAATTGAATGCACTTATACATGATATGTATTGCGGCTTGTGAGTTAAAATGGGGATGAAATCAGGGCAAGCAAGGTCCTGTAAGTACTGGAGGCAACAATAAATCATTTTTCCTAGCAGTTCAACATTCTCTGTACTCATATATGCTGTTATTTTGAAAGCTAATCCAAACTATTTAGGTCAAGTCATATCAGATCAGATCATATATCAGAGATGCCAATCTTAGTGCTTTTACATAAGTTTTTCTTCTTTCAGGCCAGCACTGCATCAATGTATTTCTCTCAGTGTATATTTAGGTGTCAAGTGTTAGGTGTAAATTGAAATGCAAATAAAAAAATTAAATAGCAACATAATACTTTAGACACCCATGAACTAAAAGTGAAGTGAAAATTAGAATTGTTTTGCTAAGAATCTCATATATACTCTTAAATATAAAGATTCCTTTATTTTATTTATAACACTTTGGGGAACCAAGTGTTTTTTTCTATTGCATTATATGAAAAAAAAATGAAATCTTTAGTTTTAACTAAGTTATTCATTAAACTAGTTTATTAATAATGTTCAAAATGTTTGATGCTTGATGTTCAAAATAATTTTAAAAGCATGCTGCTTGTATGTGCATTTAATTTTTAAAGCATAATGCAATCACAAATATGAAATGGTTGTTTTCAAAGATACTGAATATATGTCTATAATTTGAGAAAATGTATTAATTCACTGACGATTCTGTAAACACATGAAAGATTCAAATAACTCCTGATACTGTACAACGAAACTTATTTAACATGTGATATGAGGTACAGTAGTCAATCACTCATTTCTTTCCTGTACTTCTTGTGAACAGTTTTTCTCATTTTTCAACTCTTAGCAGCCAAATCAAGCATTAGTGTTCATGTGTAGCAAACGTCTTTTCAGATGGCTGAAGATAAATACCTTTGATCTGCAGAAGAGGTGAACATGTCCTGTTGAGAAAAAGCATGCATATAATTCCAGGGAAAAAATGGTTTACAGAGAACACTGGTAAAAAAAAAAAGTATACAGTCCATTACCATCGAGTTCAAAAGCTGCATCCACTTTCCCAACAATGCTGAGCCAATTCTTATGAATTTTCCTTGAAAATCCAGGATCCATCACACTTCTTTTCTCATCATAACCACAATTTTTTTTTTAAATGTTAGTTCTCTGTAAATGTCTGAAATGAGCGTTATCTGATAAACTTGTTTTCTGGAAGAAAATTGTCAAATTTAGCAATTTTTATACACAAGTTTTTTACACTTGACTACACCTGAAATAGTAGTCTCCTGTGAAAAAATAGGTCTTTTCATGTTCACTGATATGAACAGCAGAATCTATTTGTTTTACCGTTTCTGGAAATCCAAACTCATAGAATGTAGCCATAATAGCTCTTTGACTCCAGTCTCTGAACCACCCAATATTTATAACCTAATAAACAGAAGAGTAAAGGATATTTACACTACTGCTCAAAAGATTGTAGTCGTTAAAATCATTTAAAAAATAAAGTTTTTAAAAGCCATCTCTTATGGTCACCAAGGCTGCATTTACTTGATCAAAAATACAGTAAAAAACTAATATTGTGAAATATTACAATTAATATTATTACTGTTTTCTATTTCAGTATATTTTAACATGTAATTTATTCCTGTGATGGAAAAGCTGAATTTTCAGCAGTCATTACTCCAGTCATCAGTGTTGCATGATCCTTCAGAAATCATTCTAATATTTAGTTTTAATGCTCAAGAAACATTTATTATCAATATTGAGAACAGATGTGCCGCTTAATATTTTTGTGGAAACCATGATGTTGTAACATTATAAATTATTTTCCTGTCACTTTTGACCAATGAAATGCATCCTTGCTAAATAAATATATTAAAGGTAGGGTATACATAATATATCTTCTGTGGAAGTCTCAGGAGGACCATAAAATGATCGTCCAATCATTGCATTCGGTAGGATGTCCCACCCATAGATATCTACCTCTCCCTACCAACTGCATACCTCCGCGGCCACGCAGCCAATAGCGAGAGTTCGGGGCATGGCCACTGTAGTAGGCTGCAGCGAGGACCTCTTGAACTTATCACAAATGCCTTCTGACCCAGTTAAAGAGATAGTTCACCCAAAAACACCCTTATATCATTGCAAAACTGTATGACTTTCTTTTATGAAACATAAAATAAGATATTTTTAGAAATGTCTCTTTGGAATGGAAGTCACTGGTCACTAAAACTGATTGGATTCCAACATTCTTCAAAATGCCTATTTTTGTGTTCCACAGATGAAAAAAAAAGTCATACAGGTTTGGAACAATATGAGGGTGAGTAAATAATGACAGCATTTTAAAAACCTACCATCAGAAAAAGTCATATCTAAGCAGGAAACTAATGCTGTAGTGTGACCAAAACATTCCACATTCCTTTAAAGTCATCCATACATGTGTTTCATTTATTAAATTTTTTTTAAATGTCATAACTAGTCCTTCTGGTGAAAATGACAGAGTTCTCTCTGGTGAAATATGTCTTTCTGCCTTCACTTTTGAATGCAATACCCATATATCAAAATCTAATGAACAACTGATGGATAGAATCAAGTCCCTGCCCTACATTTGTCTTTTTTGGTAAACCGTTACACTTTGATGTACGTCACAATCCGAAAGAAATTATCTTTCGCTACTTCCATTTCATCGCGACTTTAATTTACCAGTATGCTAACAACAATAACAGACAACACAACACTCAAGATACACAATAGTAGAAAACTGTCTGTAGAAATAAAATGAACCTTTATCACTTAATTGTCACTATATGAAATACAAGAGAGAAATTGTCTTTTTGAAGTATTGCCTTGAATGTGGACAAAAGTTATCCTTAGCTTCATAAAAAGGTCCATATTTACTTCATGAGTGCCACAAGATTGGGCAGATATTCCAACAGAGTTTGTAAGATTTCTAGTGTTCACCAGTCCTGTCCATTAGTCAGAGATCTCACCATTGCTGGAGTTAGACAGCAGTGCAGATTTCTATCTCCTGCTCTGGCAGCTCCTCCTCTTCCTCCGGCCAACCATCCTAAGCCTCCGCCGGATAATGTCTGGAAAACACACGTCACCTCTCATAATCTTTGGGAAAGTAACAGAATAAATGGTTTGTGCAACATGAAGAACTTGGTCGTGTGTACTTACCACTCACATTCTCATAGTCTTGCTGGTTGTCGTGCCAGTAGAGACTGGTTGAAGATCGACAGTGGCGATAGAGGCGTGTATGGAGCACAGACAGGGTGAGGAGCACCAAGAGGAATCCCAGAGCGCCTGCTGCCCACACAGCCTCATCTATATGTGGTATGGGTATCCTCTCGCCCCTAAGCGGCCCTCCTATGTGAGGAGACTTTGAGTCTGGGACTCCACACTGTCCAAGCTCCACGCATTCAGATCCAGACATCTGCGCCTTTGTGTCAGTCTTAATGTGATGTCTCTTACCTTCCGTTATAGTTTTCTTATGTGTTTTTTGTCTATGTGGTAGACAAAAAAAGGTTGCATTATGCTTTCAGTCACATTATGCTGTAGAAATTGCTTCTCAATTGTCTTTGTCTTGTCTTTAGCACTGTCTCCAGGCTCCTTAGAGTCCTTTGCTGAACTGAGAGATTGTGTAACAGTTAGCATCGAGAAGGAGGCCATCTCTTTTGTATTATTTTGTGGTAGTGTGTCTGTATGGTTCAGTTTTGCGCTCTTCGTGTTGTTAAGTTCATCTGGTTTGACGTCATCTTTCAGTTCCACTTCTTCCAGGGATTGTTTGACGACCATCCTGCTCTTCCTGGTTCTCCCTCCGGTCCTCTGTACCTCAATGAGACTGAGAGTCTCCATGCAGCAGTTTTTAAGAGACTAACAGTTGAAGGAGAATGTCAGCATAGAAGGTTATCGTTAGCATTTCTATTTACATAAAAAAACTGCATCATCACACAAATCTTGACTGATATATTGGTCAATGTAATGCAGTTTCTTCACCTTTAATCTCTACACTTTGGACATCTTTTGACTTGTGCTTGTCAGTTTGTCCACAGGTGCTGATTTGGCCAAATATAGATTGTACTTTTCTCTTTGGCTTGTGCGAGCTTGACTAATATTGGAGGAAATGGAAAGCAACCAATCAAAAACCCCAAGTGTGATGCGAGACATCTCTAGTGAGCGACCCCATGAGACCACCGCTAAAGGCTTTGAGAAAGATAACACTCATGAGATATTTGTCAGAAATGGTGCTTAGAAAATGCATAAAATAACTGGTAACATTTTACAGAACGGCTCAATTTGTTACTGATAGTTAATGCATTAGGTGTTGTTAACTAATTAATCTACATACACTAATGTTCATTTTGACATACATTACAATTCAAAGGTTAGGGGTCAGTAATTTATTCAAAGTAATTAATACTTTTATGCATATATTTCACAGTGTCCACAAAAACAATTATGTTTTCAAAATTGATAATAATAAGAAATGTTTCTTGAGCACTAAATTAGCATTTGAGAATGATTGATTTCTGAAGGATCATGTGACACTAAAAACTGGAGTAATGGCTGCTGAAAATTCAGCTTTGCCTTCAAAGCAGTAAATAAATATAAAAAGGAATATACAACAAATATAAAAAAGAAAAAATATATATTCAAATAGAAAATACTAATAATATTTCATCATTTTCTGTGTATTTTTTGTCAAATAAATGCAGCCTTGATAAGCATAAGAGACTTCTTTCATAATTTTTTTTATCATTAATTCCTTAATAAACCCCAGACTTTTGAACAGTAGTGTATACTAATAGTTTTTTTTTACATTTACATTTGTATACAATCGCAAAAGTTAATGTATTAGAAGTTAAAATGTATAAACAATAAACAATAGCACTAGATTAACCAAATCTGTCAAATGTTTATTGTTAGTAAATTCTAATGGTTTAATGTTAGCTAATTTAACTTTATTGTAAAATGCTACCAAATAAATCTGATACTAAATGTAATCTATATTTATTTGACATCAGTCAGCCAATTAAATCAATCCATGTGAAAGTTCCCTTCTCTTTCCACAACTACTGTGAACAGACAGGTCTGATTTAGAGACCTGTGTTACATGAGCTGTTGTTGTGAATGCTGACAGCGTGTGACTCACTCTGTGTTGGCTGAGCCAGGGGTGAGGTGTGAGGATATAATGAGACAGACACGAGTGAACCAACCCCGCCATACTCCTGTGAGCTTCCGCTGAGACACACGGGTGATACAGAAACACCAGCGCTCCATTCTGTCACAAACAACACGTGCAGAGCTTATCAAATGATCTTCAGTTACAGGTTTAGCTATAGAAATACCGTGATTTTGCTTTACTTTGAGGTTTTGTAGCCAGCGCTGAGGGGGGCAGTAAAGGTACTCTCCACTCTCTGCCTCAACAGGCCGGTAAGGACCACTGAAAAAAAACAATAAGTCATTAAGTTATAATTTAATACAGAGGCGGACAGTAACTAAGTACATTTACTTGAGTATTGTACTTAAGTACACTTTTTGAGTATCTGTACTTTACTTGAGTATTATTTTTTCTGGGAACTTATGACTTTAACTTCACTACATCTGAAAGACAAATATTGTACTTTTCACTCCACTACATTTCTATCAAGGTCCTCGAAGTAGGAAGTCGTTACTATGTAGCAGCTTTGAAAGTCAGTGGGTGATTTTTTTCTTCTCTAAAACGTGACTTTCTTTTTTTTATTTTCTTCCTTATCAGTCTGTATTTACAGCAATATCACTGTCCACTCTGTTCAAATGTGGATGAATGGTTACACATAGATGTGTGCACAGACTGTCAGAGCTGTGTGAGATCACTACCATCCTGTTTTTGAGGGGGTGGGTAGGGGTGTTAAATAATTTTTTTATAACATTCTAAAAGCTCTTTATTCCAAAGATACTACAAGCTAGTCAGTGTATTCAGCAGGTGTAATGTATTGTAAGTTGCTTCAGAGTTATTTCAAGTATTACATACAACAATAATAAAACAGTGCATTGACATAAAAAAGGAAATGTACTTTTGGTACTTAAGTACTTTTAAAAGCAAGTACTTCTGTACTTTTACTTAGTAAAAATCTGTCTTTACAACTTTTACTTGTAATGGAGTAATATTTGACCAGCAGTATCTGTACTTTCACTCAAGTAATGGAGTTGTGTACTTTGCCCGCCTCTGAATTTAAATGAATAAACTACACATATTTAAGTAGAGTTGGAAACTCTCATCGAGTGACGCTTGGTTCCGTTAACAGTTTGCGCACAGTGCATTCATCTGCCGATGTGGAAGAAATGTCGTGCTAAACTTAACATTTTCTTTCAGTACTTATTACAGTACTAACCAGTGTTGCCAACTCATTTTCAGGGGAAGTTGCTAAAGGCAGATTGATTTGTTGCTAAAAGTTGCTAAATGATGTTGTGATGTCATTGCATAACCATTACACAAAACAGCGTTTTATGTGGAATACACGATATTACTCAAATCTCAGTGAAAAATATTTTTTAAATGTTATTTGTTCATAAAAATATTATAAACATAAAATATTTTAATTTGTAAAAGTAACATAAGTAGCACATCTTTATGATCTGATTTTTTACAACATTGAATTGTTGAACAGTTACACATTTTATGTATTTTCTTAGTAACTAGTAAAACTGCAGATTCTGAACAATTATAGTTTTAAGCAGTGTACTAGTTAATTAGTGTGCTACACAAAAGTCTATAAAAATAGGACACAATGTACTGTTTATATGAAGGGACAATACGTATTTATTTTTTACAGGTGTTTTACCTGTGTTTTAAATTCCACATTGCATTTTGTGTTTTAAGGTTACAGGTTACAACTTAATGGATAACATCCTGGCAGAAAATGACTAGTACTTTTTCAGTTTTTCCACATATTTTTTCTTACAGTGTACCTAACTGAACAAAAATTACAAGCTAATAACATGCTGTATCATAAATGTGCATTTATTATTGACCAATTGGAACTAGCAACTTAATGCACATTTGTTTGTACTATTTCTCTAGCTCTCTCCAGGTTGATGTGCTGCTTGGCTGGCTAGCTGTTCAATGGTTTCCTCTTTTTGTGTAATTTAGATGAAAATATGTCTTTTTTATCATTTGAGTCACTTTACAAAAGTTGCCAAAAACTTTTTTAAAATAGCTAAATTTGTTGCTAGGTGCTTTTTGAAAAAAAAGTTGCAAGGGTAGTCTGAAAAGTTGCTAAATCTAGCAGTTGGCAACACTGGTACTAACGAATGACTCATATGAGCCGGTTCTATTTAGTGAATCAAAATAGTCTGATTTTAGAAGGAATGACTCTTATGAACAGCTTTTTAGTGAATCAAAAACATACAACATGACGAATGTAGTTCGAATTTCAAACAAATTACTTAATGTGTCGATTCAACACACACACACACACACACACACACACACACACAGACAGAGACATATTATAAAAGAACTGAAAAGAAGAATTGAAAGAACTGTACCAGGATAGTTAAGAGGAATTGGAACTGGATAAGGAATCACATATAAGATATCGGAGTGTTTGTCAATGCTTACTGAGTGGGTATGCGGTTATTGTATGTAATGGGTGTGTCCATACAGATGTAATCAGCAGCCTGCACACAAGAATGCATATTTATATACTGTATATACTCATTTTTGCAATAACACAATACAACATCATAAAAAAGACCCCCTTTTCCATCAGTTGCTGCATGGACAGAAAGGCTGTAGGCTTCAACTCCTGAGAGAGATAAGAGATAAGAGATAAGAGAGAGAGAGAGAGAGAATTAAATAAGAAACATTTGCTTTAACATGTTTAACTCTGTAATATATATTTCTGATTTAACACTTATGCACTGTTGGGGTTGTAGAGAGAGAGAGAGAGAGAGAACCAAACAGAATAATCATGTTACTGACATCTAACTCCAAACTCTAACTCCAAACAACTTTGCAACTACATGTCAACTAACTCTCATTAGAGTATTAGTAGGCTTAGTTAAGGTTAGGGTTGGTAGAATAAGTTGATGTACTTGCAAAGTTGCTTATAGTGAGTAGAATATCTGTTGGGGAACCATCAAAAAAAGTGTTAGCAGATATTTAGCATACAGTCTACTAATACTCTAATGACTGCTAGTTGACATGTAGTCGCAGAGTTACTTATCAACAGTTGTCTAAAGGCTACCATCAAAATAATCTAATTGATATTACAATAAAAAGTTAAAAGCAAATGTGTACACATTCATCTGATCTGATATGAGATCTTATGGCTGTTTGAGAAAAAATATTATTATTTATAAGTGGTCTTTGTCTGCTTTAAGTACAGTGAAGTTACTTCACTTAAAGCAGACAAAGAGCACTTAATAACAATAAGACCACATTAAAGCATTTTGGAATGTTTTCATGAAGACTTTGTATTTGTTATTTTACAGTAAAAACACAAATAAGATGTACTAAGTTATTGTGCAGATCTTAAACAATGGCAAGATATGAGACCTAGAACACATTATAACTATGAGAAATATAATCCATTGTAACTTAAGTGGATGCAGTGTGTTTATTGTGTGTTATAAATCATCATACGCTTAACCACAAGTAAGTATTATAATACATTAAAACTGTTCTTACGATTATTTATAAGATAATGCAACATATTATAAGGTTTCTTATAATGCATTATTAATTTCTTATAATGCTTTTAAGAATAACCTTATAATGTATTATAAATACAGGCTTCATAGAAAGTGTTACCGTCAATCCTTCTATTAAAATCTTCCGCTTCACTGAAATAGTTATCAGAGAACAATCACTGTTGGGTTAACAGAAATATCAGTAACAAAAGGTGCACTGGGCATTGTGCAAAAATAATTCATTCTTTTAAGAATCTTATTCTACTCTGACCTGTAATGATAATCCGGACCGGAAAGGAAGACCTGCTCAGCCTCCTGCAAATTTAAGATAAAGATACAATCATTTGCAGCATAGTTAAAAGATATTGTTAATGTTATTCCTAATTAAGGCCCTTGGTGAACCTTTTACTATGAGTTTTTTTGTAATGATGATTAAATGTGAACATTGTTTGTTTAAGTACCACTAAATGCTCCTCAGATCCCTGTAACTTTACAAGGAAGTCCAGCAGTCTCTTTAGCTCTGCAGTGTGTTCATCGAATGTGGATCTCCTCTGAGATAGCACTCTGTACACTGGCTGAAGAGTTGCTTGGAGCAGGATTCTGGCCTCATCAGTCTGACCATGCCTTTCAAACATCAACCAGATTCATCTAAAGTACTGCCAAAAGGACTGGCTAATAACACATATTGTGGTGCAACCAAGCAATGAGCCTAGTTTAATTATGAAAGATGATTTATACTTAACTAATATGCTAAAACAATGCGTATCAAACAAGTTTTCACACTAATACAGTAAGCTACAGGTAAATCTGACACATCTCACATCAACATGCTTTTATCATCTTTTTAAGTTTAATTAACGTACTGGCTAGATTTACTTATTGTAGTCATTATGTTAACAAAGTTTAGCTTAATTAAATCATGAACACGAATTAAGAACATTGTAATAATCAATAAAACTAGCAATCGGGAATTCATTATTATTCTTAGCAGTTCTCACGTTGGCTACGTAAAGTTGGCATCGTTTTAAGATTATAAAATAAAACTTAATTGAAAATCGGTAAAGTTACTCACTCTGATTGCTGTCCATGTCGTCCATCTTTAGTGATCCAATTCGGTAGGTGGCGCTGTTACAAAAGAATAGGGTCCTAGAGTCTCCGGTTGTGCAGGAACATACTATCCATGAGTTCCAAAGATGTCACTTCCGCTTTGCTCGCCGCCATATCTGTGTCCGACATGGCAAACACAGCTCATTTAAATGAGACCGAAAAGAAACGATATTTGGAAAAAACATCTGTTATTGGTTGCGATCCTTATTTATTGCCTCAAACGGTGTTGTGTCCGTTAAAAGCTCTCTCTCGTGAAGCCAACACGGAAGTGACTTAAACTGTAATTCGTCAACTGGCCGCTAGAGGCTAGCTGCAAAAGGGAGTCAATCCCATAGACCCCCCATGTTAAACTTTACAGCAGAAAAAAACGTTTACAGCCTGGTACAAAAAATTATTTTGGTCTATATAGCTCATTTTGCCCTTCAGGACAACTGTGAGGGGAGTTTTTTATAACTCATCCGTTTAAATTATACTAAGCCTTAAAGTTCTGCATAATTAAGGGCGTGGCC